ACAATTTATTCTGGTCCTGTATATGAGAATCAAAATACTCAAACTGAGGAATAATAAAACATGGAGTTCCACAGGGGTCAATTTTGAAGCCTTTGCTTTTCATAATTTATATAAACAACCTCCTATACTAAGGACCCCATCAATACCCATCATATATGCAATGACACTACTGTTTTATTTCTGGTAAAAATTTAGATGATTTCTGCATGTTGTCAAGCAAGGTTCTTTCGCAAATGAATAAATGGTTTTCTGCAAACAAGCTGTCCCTGAACCTAGAAAAAACAAAAGTAATAAAATTTAGAAAAAACTCACCACAGTATCCATTAAACATAGGATATAATGATAAATATATAGGAGTAAACACAAAATTCCTTGGCTTAAAATTCCTTGAACATTTAAACTGGAAAAACCATATCGATCAGTTGATTCCAAAGCTAAGTAGAGCATGTTATGAAGTTAGATTCATGTTACATATTAGTAACATTGACACACTCAAATCAATCTATTTTGCTTATTTTCACTATTTAATGAAGTATGGAATAATTTTCTTGGGTAATTCATCTGACAGTAAAAAGGTATTTACATTGCAAAAGAAAATCGTTAAGAGGATTGCGATGGGCGTCAAATCCCGTAATTCCTGTAGAGATCTATTTAGGAGACTACAGATCTTAACTTTGCCTTGTGAATATTCATTGATAAACTCCATTACAAATAACAAAGAACATTTTCAGATGACTGTGGATGTACAGTGTTAACACAAGACAAAACAGTCTTTATAAACCAATTGCTAACCTCTCATGCCTTCAGAAAAGTGCATTATGCTGGGATCAACATTTTTAATAAACTGCCATCTGATCTCAAATGTCTTATGAATGAAAAGGCAGGGTTTCAAATAGTGCTGAAATGATACACATTCTACTCTGTTGATGAATACCTATTGTCTAGAAAATAACTTATTCTTAAATAGCCTTGTGTGTATTCTTGGTTTCTCTTGTGTGAGAACTCCATTGGGTCTGTACAAATGTTTTGTATTTGACATATTCCACATCCTAGTAATTTTGACTAACTTTGGATCCATGGAATGCAATGCAATGTAAATATGTCACTATTAATAGACTTGCATGACTTTTGTGTAATTTTTTAGTTTACTGTTCACTCTGGAATTGACACTACTCCCCATCTCATGCTGGGGTTAAAACTGTGCTAAACCTCCACCTGTCTCTAAGCACAAGGCAACTTTCATTTCTAAACATGTTACATATCCGAAGTAATGTGGGCTGTTACAACTTAGAATTTTAGGATAATCTTTTAATACCTTAGATGAGGGATCAAAATGTTTCAAGGCTTAATCTTTAAGACAGTTAAGAGATTACACAGGCTAATTCAAATCCTTCCCATCTGAAGTTATCCAACCTCAATTCTTAAGTTACCTGAAAGAAATATGTATTTACTTTATGTATGGTTTAATGTCACTGGCTCCAACTTTATGCCATTAACTGGAAGTGCTATTTAGAAAAGCATCTCCACATCTGGCTGAAGTACTGGGGAAAATATCAAGCTAGTGTCCTAGCAGGAAATCGAACCCAGCACCCAGGCTACTGCTCTAGCCAGTGCTGAAAGCTAACGTTCTCTCACTACAGCGCCAACTTCACGAGTTAAATGTGGCTGAGAACATGCAACTGCTTCCTCCCAAATAAAAAACAGCAAACATTTGCAGTGAAAAGCTTTTATTTATCTTTACTACAAAAAAAATATATTTCACAACAGTTTACTCAAAATTATAGGGGGAAAAAAAAAGAATTGGTGGGAAGTACATCAATCGAACCACTCTTCCCATTTTATGCACCCTTCACATCTACATCCTACTGTCCAGTGCATACACCTCAAGCTTAACCGACTTAACTCAAAAACTTGCTTCAATGTTTGCATGTCAGTCGCCACAGACTTAATAAAAACTTCGGGGGAACCCCCCCTCCCATTCAAAGTTTCTTTTCGGTGCATTGCCTTGAACAAAATGAGAAAGCTCTTGGAAGCAACTGAACAATGAAATTATTGGCCTATAGATCAGCCAAATTGAACATTAAAAGGAATATCTTATAGACTATCATTAAATGGGAGTTCCACTGTAGAAAAAAATGGGAGGAGGGGTAAGAGTTATTTCTGCACATGAATTCAGCGCCACGCCAATCTTGGCACTGGATGGAGGTGAGTGGTCAACTTAATGCCACAAGGAGACCCCCCAGTATCCACTGGACAGGAGGTGGGTGGGCCCCAGACCCAGTGTGGACACTGGAGTACACATTTCTTGACCCTGCCGGGAATCTTAACACTGCCTGTCCAGCCTGCCATCACTATTCTGACCTATCTCAGCTCCTACTGTAATATTTTATGGCAGAGAAGTACACAGCACACTACCGTACACTTCAACGATGGGAATATATTAACAGTATCATTATTGATGTGAAGGGGAGCAGTACATTATTATTATTATTAAAGGTAACTATGCAAACTAAGCCATTTAATTGCTGCAACGTCAAGACTGAACTAATGAAACAAATACAAATTCATGTTATTAAAAAAGTATTCATAGCTACACTCACCTTGTAATGTATTACAGGTACTATTATAGCATATACAGGGTCTCTTTGCCCTTCAGAATATGTACCAAGACAGGAAAAACTGAACTTAACACTATTTATCATTAGCAAGTGCAGGATGGGCAATTTGCAACTAAAGATACACCACATTCAAGTAATACTTATTACATTACACATTCTCTGTACATTATCATGGAACCTAAGGATTCCCAAAACCACCACACACATCCTTGTAAATGGACCCAATCAACCAGCCTCTTGCTCCAACAATAAATCCTTAAGTCGATATGGGATGACAATTATGAAAACAATTTTAAACAAATATCAAAGGGGAGGGGTACAAGGTAAAAATGTCACGAAATGACATGCTGTATATATGATCCTACATAACTAGGGACAAAAGAAAGATTGTAGCTTGTTGTGGCAACTTCCACAGTAACCCTAATATACACAAGACATATATACAACATAATTCAGTCATGTTTCTTGTCATCAGGTGACTTATCACCACCATCCTTCTCTGGGGAACGGCTCCTGGACTTGGACTTGCTTTGACCCTTGCTAGCAGACCTTGAGCGAGATCTATCCCTGCGAACAAAAGTGCATACTTAGTGTTGACACACCATAAACCTGCTTCTAACCACAAACTGGTAACTATCACCATGACAAGTCATGCAACACAAGAGACAAACACACCTGCTGCAAACCCATGCACCCTGACAAGTTCTGAAAACAAGCTGTTCTATAGGGGACGATCTGTAGTCAGTCAGTCACCAATCTACTCGGATTCAAGCAGCCCATGCAAAGCTGGCCACAGTACTCACAACATACTCACTTGGATCGCGATTTTGCCTTGGACTTAGATTGGGATCTGGACTTAGATCTGTTGTTCTTGGGTTCAGATCTGGACCTTGAACGTGACTGGGATCTGGATTTAGACTTGGAGCGTTCACGAGATCTGCTAATAAACGAGGACGCCCATCAATTATTAGCATATCCACTGAATTTAGATGTTGAAGGAGATATCAAGTTAGAAAAGACTGATAAACAAAACTTTAAAGAATGTCTTATCAGGGGTGCAAAAATTCAGCAGACAAAAAGCCGCAGAAAAATTATATTGTTAAAAGCACATTAGATTTTTTTTTTGGAAAAAATCACACTTAATGTCACTTGAACAAAAGTCATGCTCACTTTCATCAGCCCTCACCTTATCAACATTTTCACAAAATCATTCAATAGGTGATTACAAACATTCTAACTAGATTTTCAAGACAAGAGGTAAAAAAGTAGAAATGATACTATCCCATTTGGCATTTTGTGGCACAATTCAAGGTGATTACAAACATTCTAACTAGATTTTCAAGACAAGAGGTAAAAAAGTAGAAATGATACTATTCCATTTGGCATTTTGTGGCACAATTCATCTAACCATATTTAAAATACAACAAAATGTAGGTACAATTATCAAAAAAAGATTTTCCCAATGAGCAGAATATCAGTGCCAATAATACAAATTTCAAGACCCTTTGCTGTACATTTACTATTTTGGGGGAAAAACAAAAAGGTACTGGAGGTTATGTACGATGAACAGCAAACTCTGATAGTATCAAAACAAATTCGTGAGATATTTAAACAAGTGTGCATCTAGATTGTTCACTGTCCATTATTAACTGGAATGTGTCCCAGACCCATTCACCAACACAGAAAAACATTTACAAATCAGATTCAAAATAACTACAAAATTGTTCATACTACATGGGATTTCAACTTACAAATTTGTTTCCCTCTATCGCAGTGTTGTCTGTAGGATTTATAGTTTCTGAAATGGTGTACACTATTAACGTATCTATGCCTCACAGATTTAGTGGCTATGTGTTTGCAGAATTACATCACAGAGACAAAACTGTTATGAACTGAAAGATATATTATGGCGGTATTGGATAACACAGAGAAGTCCAAAAACCCAGTAATTCAGTGCTCATACAAAGACCTGTCACACACTTTAAAGAACGTTTTGCCTCGTCAAAATCCACCAGAGTTCATTGTACCAACTTTTTGCTGTACCATAAAACAATCATTCAACACAATTGGAGGATTCACTATATGCTTGAGGTGCCACCAAATTATATGTTCAACACAAATTTACAGTGAAATCTCAAGATTAAATTCCTTCAAATGGATAAAAGTTAAATGTGTATATATTAAAAAAACCCTAATAATAATACTTTTTCATGTATGATCACCATGTGCATAAAATGAACTCAATGTACTGCACTCCTCCAGGAAAAACTGCCATTTTCAGACACGTGAATTGTTATATCCACCTGAGCACGTCATGTACACTAAAATGTCTAAACTTTCTGGGAACTTAAAAGCAACATTCCTACCACTAGCATGACAAATGTAAACTAAGTATACAAGCAACAGAGTACTTTTCAATCATGTAGTGTTAACAAAAATTTAAAACACATGTAAAAATGTTCATTCCAGCAAGTGCCCGAACACAGTTAAAATACAAACAACTTTCAAGTCCTGACTTCTAATTATGTATATCAACATAACTTCTAGAAACTTAGTGCAGGTAAGGCAATATTCGTTTCTCCGAGTGATTATTACATACATGAAAACAGCAAAGAATAGTTCAACATTCATGACATCTTTATAACATTATCTAAGTAGAGAACATGAGAAATTCTCAACCAAATCAAAGCTAAAAATTCACCAACAGTTCACATTTCACACTTCTAGACTGAGCAACCCATAAAAATGCTGGCATGTAAAAAGTCTTGAAATATCGCTTTCACGTTGCCTACCATTTACTTCAGAGGTCATCCAGCCAAAATTTTATGCAGGCCTCTCCACCATCACGATTTCTACAAATCTACAAACCAGACCTTCTATAGTGTGTTCCTCAAAATTCCTATAAATTTAAACAAACATGATAGCAGTAAACATACAATGTACGTAGCCACAAGTTCAAATGTTTTTCAATTTAAACACCCTGTGAATCAAGCATGTCAACATTCTCATATATATAGCCACTGCTTTACTCAGAGTTTTGAAGGGAAATCGTTGTTTAACGATGCTATCAGCAGCTCCAACTATATATGATTAGATGATCTTAAAAATCACAAAATTCCACTGTATCATGATACGAAACCATTACATGGCCATTCACACTAGTGATAAAACTGCCAAATTCCTTATACCAACAAAGCCAAATACAGGAAGCTGCATGGGAGTGCAGATTACACTCTGTATTTGGTGTGATGAACAATACATGCCACCATACCACAAAACCATGCCAATTTGCTTCTCCCTGTACAAGAGAGGCATGAATTATGAACTGTTTTTTTAAGTATTTCATTTTTAAAACAGCAGAATCAAAATTTCACTCTATCAATTAATTACAAGCATACAGCTACCCTAAATAATTGTTACATGTTGACAAAGTGGGAAGTTTAATAATTGTAACTTACGGTGATAGCTGTTGTGCTTGCGCACTGTTGGAAGGCGATTGTTGGTACTCAAGTTTCTCGACCGAAGTACCCGTTTTTGATCTTGGAAGTGCAAAAAAAAAAAGTGTCAAAAATATTTGTGGATTAAGAACAGCAAAAATCTAGTCGCCAGTCATGACTCAGGCAACACTGGCGCCAGGATTTTTGCACCCCTGCATTTAAGACAAACTGAAGCTGTTATGAAATAAAAATTACAACCATTACTTTTATACTGGCATTTCTGTCAGTTGCAATGCCTCACTATGGGAAGCAAACACTAAAGCACATTAGTACAATGAAACTTCTACAAGAATGATTCAAGTACTCTTTGTACACCTTTATTCATTCGCAATCCATGCAACAGAATTTCTACAAGATTTCCCTCTTGGATGCACTATATGGCATGCACAGAACCAAGCAACCTTACTTACTTTGACTTGGAACGTGATCGTGATTTGGAGCGCGAAGCTGATTTGGACTTGGAACCACCACGAGACTTTGACCGACTACTGCGGTGGCTCCTGCTCCTACTGCGACTACTACGTCGACTACGGGACCTATAATTAAATGAAAAATGACAAAAATATGCCTACAATTAGAGGAAAAGCCAACAGAACTCCCACATCATTGCTCAGAACACGTTGGGAAGTTCACAACATACCAGTTCTGACATGAAAGAAATCATCACAGCAATCTGACATTAAGTTACACAGTCTTCACCTAGGAATTTGTAGAACTGGCCTTCACATCATCGATGTCCTTACACACATTCTTGTCTTAAACTGTGTCCACCAAACAGTACATCACATTTCACAAGTCGAAAAACCAAATGGAAACATTTAGTTAAGGCAGGCAATGAACTGTAAATAAATTGCTACAGTCGCTTAGAATTCTATGCATAATATATTCACACTAATATATCTTGCTTGAGGTCCACACAACACGTGCTCTTCCGTGGTGTTCAACCTTTGACATTCTATTAATATAGAGAGATATAGAATGCAAATACATCTGGTCAATCTGCAACAGCAGTCTTGCTACAATTTATGTAGCTATGTGGCCATGCAGCATGTCAATCAAATACACCTTCAAGGAGTTACAGGCTGAAACTGGAGATGGGAAAAATTGTTTCCCTGTCAGGGACCACATGTACGCACAAAGAAAAATTTTATCTATTAAACCATACAATTAAGAACCAACCAAAACACTGGAAATATTAAGAAAACCCAAAAATGCTGATGTCAAAAGAGATTTCTTAATACAGTTTATTGATTCTGTGTAACTGTTCTGTTCAAACATATATTATTAAAAATAATTGGCAGAATCACCTGGATCGTGTTCGACTTCTGCGCCGAGATCTTGATCTGGAGCGTGAGCGGGACCTTGAACTGGAGGACCGAGAACGTCGCCTACCACCACTGCGACGTGTATCCTCAACCAACCGAATTCTTCGCCCATTCAGTTCAGTATCATCAAGTTTATCAATGGCATTCCTCATGTCTGAATGTGTGGCAAATTCAACAACCCTGAACACAAAGAATTACTTATATAAAGATGCCAAAACAACAGCCAACAAAAAGAATTGTGATTAGAATATACGTACCCTTCATTTCGGCGCTGTTTGTGTGCATCAGCATATGTAACTTCTCCAGCTTGTCTCATGTAATCTTTCAGGTCCTGAACATGCAACAGAAATTATGCATCATAATCTGTACAGTTACAATTGTAAACCCCACTGTTCTATAACCCCATAACAAGTTTATTACAAACTTCCCCACCATCTGACATCTCACACCCCGAAAATGTTTTTAATATTATATGCCCCTTCATTACCCCTACTTTTGGTGCCACTAAATTTCTAATTGTTCTCATCTACACTAACACCCACAACCAGATACAAATTTGGAAAATACCTGCAACACTACATTTCACACACACTTCTCCATTAGTACAATCTTGTTAACAATCTAACCAAGTCACCTATTTTATCCAGTTTGTGTAATCCTTCTTTAAACACAAGAACTCCAGCCCAACATATCATAGTGCTCGAAACTAGTTACCACTGACAAAACACTATAGTCAACAACTCTTTACAGATTCCCCAACAAGACTCCTGATCTCTCCAAAATCTCCCATCCAGCACTGTGTTTACTCCATCGACAATATCCGAACACAAGAACTCTTCTTCGATGTTATGATGCTCCACTTCATGCACGGAATACCAACTTGTCCACATAAGGCAGCTTTCATCAGACCAGAAGTGATCTCGCTGGTACCTCATCTAAGGCGCTTCCACATTTCATCCGCAGGTCTGGCCAAAAACATGCCACCTCCATAGGTGACCTTCCTTGTTGCCACAGTGCATTACAATTCCAGATTGCAGAATTGTCCATAAGCCTTCTCCAAATAAATGCAGCTCCGTACTCCACGACATTTACTGTCCCATCTTGCTAGATCTGGCTCCATTAAACCACTCTGGCTGATCTTGTGGCTCCTCAAGGAACTCCCAGTATTCAAGACAACTCATCCTATCACGCAAAATACCTATTTACGACAGTCAGTGATGATCATCCCAAACGCAATCGCAGGAAGAGTTGTATGATAATAGTGCTGTCTACAATTAAATACCAAATGCACAGTATCATTCATTGCTGAAAATTTTGTCAATGAGTGCTCAGTACCTAATTTCGAGCACATTAACCAGACACCCCATTAACTCCATCACCTAATGCAGAAAAAGCTTCCCTACTATACTGCACCTTCTGAAAAGCTCTGCCAACACGTTCCTCCCCTTATAACGAACTTCAGCTGTCATGCTAATAGTCAACTCTGTAAGACATGAACGAACGAGAGGAAAACAGTGCACAGTAGTGTTGTCGTCCATTTACCTTAGGGCCCTGTACGAGCTCTTTACAGAATTGGCCACCTCACGGTCAGGCAGGTGGACAGACGGGCGGGCAGAAAGGATTGACACCAGTCCCGACCCATCGTCCGATCAAAGCACGGCACACTGGCACGGAGGGGGAAGTAGGGGCGAGCGTGGCTGACCAGGCTGCCATTGGCCAACGATACGGTGACGCCGCACGGGCGGGATGCTTGGTAAGGTTTCGACCGGTCATCTCTGATTGCGGGTTGCTTTGTCCAGCCATGGACCCCAAAGGAAACGTGCGAGCGATGCCTTTCCTGCCCTAGTCTCATCGGTTGGTCACCACATTGCGTGAGGTTGCTCAACCTCGGTTCTATTACGAGTCATCTGTCATAAGGCCCTACGGCATGGTCACGGATCGTCCCTCCATGGCGAAGAGGGAAAGGCTCTTCGGAAAAAACAGCGTTATCTTTTAGACATATTTGCTGAACCATATGACATGTGAGAGCAGTTCAAATTAAGGCCCAACTTACCCTCACCAATCTAGAAATTAAATACACAGGTTTCAAAACTGGTCAAGCAAGTTCAACATACACAAAATTACAGCCATGCAGACATACGGACACAATGTGATGGCCCATCTTCGTGGGAAGGCTATGTTGCTCCACTTCATAGATTGTTACGTGCCCCAACCTCAGATTTCCAAGATGTGAAGTCCAAGTAGACGTACCAAGATTCCATTAATAGCATCTCAAATGAGGGGCACAGTGCCCATAAACCTGCATGGCTCTTGACAACGAACATAAAGTTTTCATAAATCTCATACAGTTACACTTCAATTACAAAGATCTTGCTTGGCCAGATGTCTTTCCTTACTCAGGGGAAATACTACTACTTACTGCAACCTGAGTTCAATTTTCAAGTATGATAAAATGAATCCAACAATTTACTTCACACTTATTACTTAATTCTTCCTCACTCATAACGTAAATGGGACAGAAAGCAAAATATGAAACTGCTCTCACCAAATCAACCCATTCAGAAGACAATGGCGATGTCAGCGGTCTTGAATTATTTGTGAACAAAGAACATCCAATCTTACCTGCCAACTGACGCGGCTAGATAGATTCTCCACAACAAGCCTATATTCAGTTCTGGTGGGTGGTCCATACCTGTAAAATGGAAAGGTTCCAACACATTATCTCATCCCACTTCTCAAGATACTTGCCTGACCAAAAAGCATGCAAGTAACCCCCCTTGAAAATTCAAAACTGTGCCCAGTGAAAAAACCCCAATGCATTATTAATCACCAAAGCACATTTATGGGACAGAACTAAGCCTGAATGTTGAAGCCAATTTGTCCGATTCGTAACAAGTACGTCATCATCTATTAATTACACCATTGAGCAGTCATGGCCAAAGTAGAGATTTCGTTAGTTGCTCCCTAGCATACATCTAACAAATCTAAATTAATCTCTACACCGAAGTTGTTCAGCTTAAATGAGTTAATCCAACTTGCAGGCTCACAACTGGTGACGTCACACACCATGCCTCCACATCCTCACATGGTGTGTTTCAAATTAATAGGTAATAGAAGTGAAATAAAACTTAAAAATGCCAGATCAAACTAGGCATGGCGTACCTGTCGTGAATACGGACATCCATATCCCTGAAAAAAATCAAGCGGTCAGGTGGAGTACTTTGCAATTCAGAAACAAAACTGAAAGACTTTCTTTCTGCTAACTGGGCAACAGTGAATTTGGCCATTAAGAAAGAAATGTCTTGCAATCTTGTTATCCTAAATTAAATTACCAATATACAACAAACTCCTCATAAAAACTACAGCAAACAAAATAATTTGGTTTTACTAATGAAGGCTCAGCTCAAAGCATGTAAGCACTCCAAATAAAGACCCCAATTTTGAAACAATATTCCAATCCGCACCATAAGAGCGCTTTCTTATAATAGAAATCTTACAACTAAGTCACTACTACAGTTAAGTAAACTTAATAATAGTCAGCTTCAAATTATCACTATTATAGCAACCAGACACTAAGCTACACATGCACGGCGTAAGCGTGTCTTGCATTCACGTTAACTTCAGGAGTTAGGATAGCTGTCATCCTTTAGCCGACAGAACAGTATCAATCATACTAGGGAGGAGCTGGAGAGGCCAGTGCCGGTGTAGTGGTTATGAAAAGTTATAACATACGCTACACAAGAACCTCCCTCCCCTGGTACCCCGGCCCGTAACGGCTTACTTGTCCAGAGCCCGACCCCGGCTTCGCCTCCGCGGGGGAGGCCCGCGATCTCTGCTGCGACCTCTCCACATGTCGCTGCCACGCGGCGTTCCGCGAGCTTTCTCTACAGAGACTCTGTAACAACAAGCAATGGAATTGGCTTACTTGTCCATCCACGACGAACGCCGGCGACCGTAGCCGCCTCCTCCACCGTAGCCACGTTCTCGACGAGCTGTGCCTCTGGCATGTTCCACTATAACCCTGGAAACAAGAGAACAACCCACTGTTACGAGGGGCGGGTGCCCGGCCACAGTCCACCAGCCATCATCGCATCAAGCCAGAAGCCTAGGGAAATATGGTACATTACATCATCACAGTTCAAGTAACCCAATCCACAAAAGGGTTAATATAAAACTGCCAAGGTAATGCAGATATCAACATGAATTTCAAACAAAATTATACACACAATTACAATCACAGCATTCGGCACACACCCACAAAGATACATACATGTAAACAAATATGTACCCATACCAATGGCAAAATCAGTCAATTCAATACAAAACATCTGTAATCATAAACAAGAAACAAAATTAATAAAACCCACCTTTCTCCTAAGAGCTCTTTTCCATTTAATTCATAAACAGCATCATCTGCATCCCTGTAGTCATCAAATTCCTGAAACAAGCAGCAATGAAACTTGAGACATGCTACAGAATACAAAACCTATAAAATGAGCTCCCACTAACTGGCTGCTCAGCACGTTGGGAACATATCCGCAACACAATTCAGACCCGAAAGATAAACTTCATCATCGCAACCACCAATTGTAAACCAGTGAATTAAGCTAACACTAACAATGACATTGGGCATTAATACATGCAGCTTCCCACAACAGTAGAACTTTTCAAAACAATTATTACCACAGAATTAGTACTTACACAAAAACCATAACCGTTCTTGATGAGAACATCACGAATGCGGCCATAGCCTTTGAAAAATCGTTCTAGGTCTTTCTCTCTCACTCCATATGGAAGGCCTCCGACATACACCCTTGTCCCTACCATGCTGTAACGAACAAAAACGATTTATCGTTCAATTAGCAACTTACCACAAAGGCAAATCCATTCTTCATTGCGACTTCCTTGATTCTACCATATTTCCGGAAGAACTTCTCAAGGTCGCGTTCTCGCACCCGGTAAGTTAAGCCACCAACGAAAACTCGGGTGCCCATTCTTAAAGGAAATAAAAGAAGCCTATCACAAATGGCTCTGCAATCGCTCACAGTTAATTTCACTTTACGCCAATTCGATCATGCTCTCCCATCCCCACACTTAAAACATGGCAATTTTACACAATACCTGAACAAACAAAAGATCACTCTAAAACCTCACAAAATGCTGATTAAAGAGCAATACACACTTAAGTAATAGTATCTATATCTAAGAGTTCCTTAAAAATTAACAGAACCTCAAAGGGTGTAATTGGTGCGCAGATGACGACTGATAATTTTGAACTGGCTAAGCAATGCCTCCTTACGATTTCCCTTCAATATGGCGCACAGGTAATATTCTCACTGACCAATTACCTCAGACATGAATATACAGCAGATTCTATTCCAAAGTTCTATTCAGGATGTAACTTTCAAAGTTATCCCACGTAATTATTACACACAATAGACCCCTAACCACCCAACTCGAAATGGCGCCGGTTTATGTGTACACTTTAAATACAAAATTAAATGTTTATGTGCACTTTAAAAACATAATTATATGTTAACTGCCCATTACAGCAACAGAATACAAACCTTCAAAATATTATTCCTGCAATAACTAAGCTTCTTCAGTCTTCACATTCATAAGAATAACGACATCCAACAGCACAAACCTACACACTCCAGAAAACAGGACGCCAAGAACCAGATTATTCTCTTCGGGGTCTACAAGACGACCTGCGTGGACTTACAGGATGTACCTGCACTATAGACTCGCAGTGGGATGTATGGATCGGTGTGCGACGAGGATCACGGATCATTGACGCAAGTGGTGTCACGGATTATATAGAGTGGTGTTACGTCCTATTGCGTAGGAGTCTGTTGCAGCGGATTCGGGAACACGGGCAGAATCATTATTAGTAGCTAAATAAATCGCTCAGCAGGCCTAGAAATGTCTCATGTCCACAGATCCGTCCTTAGTTTAGTGGAAATGGGATTTATTGTAAAACTCTTATATAAATCCCATTCCCTAAAAAATATATAACTGCAGGCATACCTGTGTGGGATGTCCATGTATGAAGAGAACTTCTTGAACTGTTCGATATTATTCATTATAATTGCACAGTATAAACAAAAGAACTTCGGCTTGAAGAAATCAAGACTATTAGTATAGTACCAATAATAATTAGCGGTTGCAACACCAACACACCTCTCTCATCTATATAGTCAGAATCAAAAGTGTCTATATATATCTTCCTCTTATATAATATTGCGTCGGACCGCACAGAATACACGTCGCTGTCCGTATTGTTGTAGGCCTTGCCTAGCAACGGTTGTTTACTCGCCGTTGCTAAAGCAATGATACTTGCGTTGTCACTGTAACCTTTGCTTGAATGTGGGCAGTTTCCACACCTGAATAAAAAATGAGAATATACTGGACAAAATACAGCATACAGATTTCAACTAGCATTTATTACACCGCATAAATTGTTGTGCATTTGTGGCCTCTGCATCTAGTGCAAAGGTCTTTACATAAACAACTACATGAATATGTGTTGTGGTGTTCTAATTATTTTAGTACTTAACTCTCCCTCTCTTTCCTGATACTCCCACATTCAAGCATGGGGCATCCGTGAAACGCTTTGTTTTACTTCAGTTTCTCAATCTGAAGACACTCGTTAGTACTTTTTGGACGGGGGATCAGCACGTCGCAAGAACGCTACCTACACAGGACAACACAAAGCCAGAATAATACAGACATACATAAAAACTTCAAAAATTAACTAAACAATACAGCAGTCTTTGTAAAATTAAATTGTCGCGGTTTTTTTGTTTTCGTTTAATTGTGTGTGTATATTGACATGGTCATGAGCATTTAGTAACCGAAACATGTTGTGGAGCTAAATACATCTGAAGTAATAAAGCCTTTGTGGCAGTACTTTCTGCTTATTGCTCGTTGCTTAGCGTCTGTCCGAAATTGACGATGGAGGAATACACTGATTCGAAACGTATGTGAAATTCTACAGGACTACATGCCTTCATTGCCATGCCATAGCCTAGGCAGTCCCAGGTTGGGTAATGTGGGATTTGCGGTGGACAAATTGATGATAAAATAGAGTTTCTCTGAGTACGAGTACATCTGCTTTTCCTGTCAGTTTAATATCACAAACTCCTCTGTATTCGTTGCTCACCCTATCATCGACTCTATATAGCCTCGAGATTGAAAGCGTCGTTAGATTACTAACTTGCAAAATTACACGACCTTAGATGCCAGGAGATAGTACTTTCCATAGTCACACTGAGATCCCCAAAACTGGTAGTGTTGATTTTGTAACCGCAATGTACACACACTTACTCCTGAACTCTTTGAACGTCAAATGTGACCACCTTTGACCTATTAGATTTTCATTATTTGTCAGAAGTATGAATAATCGTCCTTAAACACCTTTTATATTTTGCAATAAAATAATGTTTGCATTTCTGGCCTGGTCATCCGTGGCGAATTCTGTTTTCTTATTACGTGTTAATGATATTAATGATCGTACTGTGTTTTAGTGCGCTGTATTCTTATTTTATATATATTGATTTCATCTCTTGGGAGTCAATGCTGTTGCTACTCCGAGTAAAATTTTGTCTTCTATGAAATTTCCCATGTCCGCATACTTGGCGAGCCTACGTAGTCTCAAACGAAGTCTAACGGATTCAATTTTTGATATGGTATTATGACACTAAAAGCCACCCTAAGAAATTATTTGGTTTGTGTTCATCCATAATTTAACTAGAGAGAGGTTTAGCAAAACAATGTCAATATGTAAATTAATATTTCGTTTATGTTGGGAACTGTATTTTGGTGACGAGCCTTAAATAATGATGGCGGGGTGCCATCTGGCTTGTAGAAATACAGAAATGAGTCGGTTTTTAGACTGGCTGAGTTATTTGTTGGATAATAGGGATCGCCATTTTGCCTTTTCCTTTCCTTTGAAGTGGATATACGGCTATAATGTGTGTTATCTAGTCTGGTACAATTCATGTGTACGTATAACATGGTCAATATAGCCTTTTTCAAAGATTCATATATGTTAAGGTGTAATTTGTTATGTTCCCAGACCGTTAATGTAATAGACGACACTGCCCAGTACTCATTAAAGACTTTTCTATTTTACGTGCATTAGATAGTTACTATAATGTGGCATGACAGGGAACTTTTTATGGATATTTAAACGTAGTTCGGTGCCCACCTATACTTCCTAACAACAAATCTTTAAACATATGACAGTATGCCCATTTAAAAATGTTTCTTTATATGACGGAGAATCACCACTTTAGTTAATAGATTACTGTTAAATGTATTAATATGTACAGTCATAACTATAGGTATGCATGAGATTGTAAACATATAATGGAAAAGCCTTGTCAGCTTACATTTATTCAGGTACATTATGTTATTTTTGTTTTGGTATGAACCTTTTTTATGATTAAAGAAGCAGATATTGAACAGAAGTCAATGAGAGGTGTAGAAGTTAGCAAGTATTCACTGAAAATACTGGTATTAGACACTAAAGCAGTATTAGATCAAGTTTTAAATTAAGTTTCATTTGAGAAAAGAAAGTTGGATGTATATGCACATGTGTAGTGGCTTTTAATCATTATGTGTTTATTTGTGCACTTTTCTGATATGGTTTTAAATGTCATCATGAAACTAATGATTCATAGTTTGGATTACTGTACAAAAAGCACTTTCACTGATATATTGTGAAATAACAGTGGATTGAAAATGTTCATATATGAGAGTTACGGATTGGAAATACAGGGCAAATGAGATTCATATATTTTTAATTAAGTTGGTTTAATATTACAATACAGAGGCCATGGGTAAGTTGGATTAATTTTTGTTGAGCCGGTTACCATAAATAAACTTTGCACTGTGAGCAGTGTTCAGGTTTGCTGTGACCTAGATAATAATCCAAAATAATATGTTTAAATGGTTTTGTCTTTAAACTGCAACTACCTCTTTGGAAATCTTTTACCATACTGTATTTTTGTATCTGCATTGATAGCTATGTAGAATTAATGAAAGTTTCAAATTTATGGAGGACTGTGGGATTATCTAGCAAGACAAGTACATTTAGAATTAGAACCACTACATTTTTCTAAAAAATTTATTGTAACAGAATATGTGATAGGTGGCAAAAGACTAATGTGAATATCCCCAAAAGTTACATAATAGTCATATTCCCAAGAGCAGTTTCATAACTCAGGCCTTTTTTTTTTCTTAATTTCTTTGGTTCCATGGCCTTTAACTTAAATTGGAAAACAGTTTAGTGAAATGTTGATAGTGTTCATTTAAGCCATTTATGAATCAGTTTAATTTAATTATTTTATAGTTTTGATTAAAAAGAATAAAGTTAAGATTCATATGAAATTGTATTAAAATGAAGTCTACATAAGTGAGGGCATACCTGTACTATGAAGAAACTCTCCTAGTATTATTTTTGTAAGGAGTGGTCGCGTTCCGAAAATAGTAGTAGCTTTGGCATATGTCTTGCAAGTTCTTTTAGAATATTCCTCACGGTACACTGGGAAGAATATTTCTTACAAGTTCTTCCAAACTATTCTTTACAATATATTTAAAAAAGCTAAGTATAAAAATATCTTCATTTTGACAAGGTAATATTCTGTTGCCTAAATATGAAGGAAAGTCAGTAAACAGGTCACAGATATAAAATGTAAAACATGTGATATTTGATCCTGGGAAAAACGTTTATTTCTTGACATACCCTTCATGAACTTGATATGCTTGTCCTATCAGTTTATGAGTGTGTTGCAACCCACAGCATAGAAAACATTTGACTGTTGTCTCAGCCACTTCCCCACCTGGTTGGACATAATCTGCAACTTTTGAATGTACTTAAGAGAATTTCTTGACCCAGCTTTAAACCACTTTATGCAATAACAAATTAGCACTGTAAACAGGAAACATTTCTGTATGAATATCCTTTGCATTGAGTTTCTTTGCACACAAAAATGCACAGTGAAATGCTGCTCTTTGGTAGTATACACGTCAAGCACGGTCGCCATTTTGACTACTGAAACCAGCCTCTGAACATGTGCATCTGCTACCTAGATTGTCGTGAAGCTAGACTGTACTACTACCTAGTGATACAGAAAACCTCTTACATCTATTACATTTGTTTTACTTCCATTTGTGACCTATTTACTGACTCTTCCTCATAGTTATAAGTAACTAGAAAGTTATCTGTGTCAGTGCTATGTGAATGCAGATGTGTATACATTTTCAACTAGTGTAAAGATTGATCTGTTGCAGCCACTGTGGCAGAGAAGTAAGCAGGTGTTGGTGGTGTCGTTATGGCCGAAGATTCTCGCACAATGGGTCTTGGAAGGGAGTTAGCCAAACCATTGCATCTGCAGCACTTAGAACGAAGTCTTGATGTGGAGCCATTTCTTGTATATGTTGAACAGATATTTAACACTCCGATCAGGTACCTTAGAGTCAAAGACATTGACATAGATGAATATTGAGTTAATGGAGCCTGGTACATCAGATTTCTATAAATTTTAAATGGTTTAGTTATGGATGATGATGTTAAATCCTGGTGACCAACTGCAGGAGGGATGTTCCTGAAAAATTAACACATTCACTACCAGCCTCATAGTGGTCAATTTAAATACTCACCCCAGGGTTTTTAAGTGTCAGGATACTTTTAATGTATTAATTTGCCAGAAAAATCTGGAAACACTCCGCTCATAAACTGTGATGTACAGGAATCTGTCTGACCAAAGTTGGATATGCTGATGTATATATGGGAATGCTTATCCAACTGCTGGTCAGATGTGCGAGTGAATAAGTTAATGTGGTTGTAGTGACAGAAGCATTATGGGAAATGAGAGGTTTGGTGAACTACGGTCGCTATTAACACTCATCAAAACCAAGTGTCCTGTTCCGTAAACGTAAGAAATGTGCAATAAAAATGTGAAGTTGTCCATGTGATTCGTTAATTAAGCACCATACCATGAATATGTATGGGGGGAGTGGAAGTATAGCTCCTCTCTTCTTAACCTTGTTACTTGATGGAGGTGCAGCTGAGGAAAGAGCCCCTGGTATTCATTGCATAGGAGGGTGGGTGGGCCTCAGAGCTAGTGTTGAGTAGAGACAAATCACTTGCCCTTGCTAGGAATCGAACCCTGGCTATCCAGCCTGTATGTCATTGCCATAGTGATTGTGCTATCCTGGCTCTGCAAAATATGTAATAACATATTTAAAAATAATATGTGACAGTCTTAAAATATAAAGAAAAATGTTACAGAAGTGCTTTATGACGATAGTCTTAGGCTATGGAACTCTGCCTGCAGCTACAGAACTGTGCAAGCACATGTGGACATGTCGGCTAAAAAAAAAAAAAAGACACCAGTGTTTGCATGTGTACATATACATCAAGCTAAATCATGCGATTGGCAAATCTGGATAAAAAATTGAAAACTGTCAGCTAAGGCTGTATACCATCAAGTGGTATGATGATTAGTGAATAATGAATTGGAAAGGATATGGAAGGAAATGACCATAGTCTAATTTGAGGTAGTGTCCTGGAATTTGTTTGGAAAGAAAGAGGAAAACGATGTGGAACCTCAGTGAGGATACTCAGGGTCCTGACCAAGATTCAGAACAGGCATGTCCAGGATACAAATTGAACAAAGTGACTTGGTCTGTGATAATAAACATTCATGTGAGATTTGAGGTTCTCACAGCAGTGGTTTTGAGCTGTTCCATCTTGTGGGAAGTAATGTCATGTTATACAACTTCTTTATTGAAACCGTCACAACACAACTATAGCAAGGTCAGTGCCTAGTTTTGGCTCTGCTACATGTTTTGGCTATTAATAGCCATCATCAGGCAAATACATGGCTAGCATATATACACCACTGAACTGCATTATTAGTAAAATTGGATACAGTAATATTAATTATATCAAATACTTGACGTAAAAATACAATAAATTAGATTATAGCGTAACGTGTTTTTGCCACTGAAGATGCCGTTCAGATTGTTAATTGGTTTATTTAACAACCTACAAATCTTGGCTACAATTAATTATCACACTGTTATGGGTTTCCACAATTTACAAACCCTACACAATATTTTATTCACTCTATCTTCAGTAGTCTACACGTATTCACTGTACGATACGGGAGCTATGCAAGTGTCACTGTATTACACACTCCCAATTACTTCTCTTGTGAGCCAAGCATCTGCTTCTCAGGCTATGACTTCTAATCGCACGTTCCCGTATTCGTCTTTCCCCTACAAGTGAACTCGGCGACTGTTCCATCCACACTGTGTCACTCCTGCTCACACACTGACTGTCTGACTGCTGGCTAACTCGTAACTAATTGACTTACTGCTGGCTAGCTCATAACTCACTGTTGAATAGTGTTCACTGCTCCTTATTTAGCCCCGTTACAGACAACACAGAAAACAGTTACGCAATAGGCACCACTGTTGCGTAACGTTGTGTTTACTGACTGCCTAGGGACAGTCGTTGCACAGACTCCCCGCCGTGTTTACAAAGGCGTTGTTGGGCAGCGCTGCTGGGAGTTGTTTACGACTACATAGCAACTGCGGCGTTCCATGTTAAGTCACTGTGGGGAAAGGGGTGTCTACTGAGCATTGCACACTGATGGACGGAGTGGGGGTATGTGACGTCACTTGCGAGATCACAGAGTTCACACAACCCTCACCTCCCACTACGCCATCCACGTCACACTATAAAACAAAAGTTATAGTATAAAACAAGAATAAAATTCTTTAATTGATGCTTTACATCATCGAGTCAGTCATTGGTTTTTGTAATTTTATTGCATTCCCATGGACAAATTGGAGTATTCTATATTTTGTATGTATATAAAAAACTGTTATTGGAGGCTCGTGATGTAGATATAGTAATATTAATGTTAATCTGAAGATGATATGAAAGTAATAGTATTAAATTTTGTTATAATCAACAATTGATTTTGGTATTGAAGATATAGTGTATTATTACTTATTATTTAGTCAGTGCCTCATCTTACAAAGTATTGTTCGTTCTGTAGGGAATGTAAACAACGACTGATTTGGTGATGTAAGATTAAAGTCACTGCAAGGGAGGGAGGGAGGGAGGGAGGGGGTAGAGATAAGGTGTATGAGGACGTTTTGGTGGGAGGGGGGAGTGTGTCACAGTTCAGCTGCACATTTCATATTATGCCCAACATTCTGTCACATACTGTTTCAGTGATGAGAACACCTCAGATTCAGAATCAGAGGCCCACCTCACTGAAACTGAGGATGCGAAAGGAAATAAAATTATTAATGGAATTGCAACTACGATAGAAGGTAAGTACAATGGGTCCCTGTCCAACTTGGTGGAGAGCTTTAATTGGTGGGACTATAAGCTTAAGATACTGGGGATTTTGTGGATAATGTATATACCAATATATAGGCATATTTTATCCACAGTTGGTAGACCTTATTTTTACCATTGTAATCCAAGAAGTCTTTCTCAGTTATTGCACATAATTAGCCTGCTCTCAGTTGTGTTTCTTTCTCAGAATGTTTGTTTATGCAAGGTTCTATTGGAAAGTTCCTGGACTGTTAATGTTGTAAATGCCATGGCGAAAGAAGATGAGAAGGGAGGACAAGGTCACACTTCTGCAAGCGTATTGCATCAGTCTGCCACATGACACTGTGCTGTGAACAAGCATTGTTTTTACATGAGTGCTCTTTAAACTTCATGTTTTGTTTTGTCTGTGATGGATTGTAAAATTGAGCAATGTGTCTGCATCAAGTTCTGCATGAAGCTGCTGTCAGAACTCTTGAAATGCTTCGTGAGGCTCTTGGAGAATATTCTTTAAGCCGGACAACAGTTTTTGAATGACATTCATGTTCCAAGACTGGTCGTATGTTAGTTGAAGAAGACAAACGTTCAGGGCAACCAAGCATCAGCAAAATGACAGAAAATGTTGAAAAAATTTGAGAACTCATCCACAAAGACTGTTGCCGAACAATCCATGAGCTTGCAGACACCGTTAGGGTCAGTTATGGCGTTTGCCAGGATATCTTAACAGAAAATTTGAACATGTGCTGCATTGATGCGAAGTTTGTTCCCTGACTCTTGACAAATGATTAAAAGCAGCGGCGCGTAAACGTGTGTCCTGAGCTATGAGAGAAGGCTAATGAGGACCCAGCTTTTATCTCTAGGATCATAGCAGGTGATGAAAGTTGAATTTATGGTTATGATCCAGAAACATGGCAGTAATCATTGCAGTGTAAGAATGTGGTATGTCCAGAGTTCAACAAAGAGCATAAAGGGGATTGTTCACCATGAATTTGTTCCTCCTAACACTATGGGCAACTCTTACTTTTACTGTTACATTTTGAGGCACTTAAGAGAAAATTTGCAGTGAAAGAGATAATAACTTTGGCACAACCACAACTGGCTCCTTCATTGTGACAATGTGCCTGCCCACATGTCCCTGAAAATCACAGAGTTTATGACTAACAACAGGATGGTTATCGTTCCCCATCCTCCCACCTCACCAGACTTAGCCCCCTGTGATTTCGCTATCTTTCCCAAATTGAGAATGAAACTGAAGGGACGATGTTTTGTCTGACATCTGAAGGAACCGCAAGTGGTACCCTACAGCATTAAGGAAAATAACTTCCACGGTGCTTTTGAAGCATGGAAGAAACTATGGGATCACTCTATACATTTCCAAGGAGTCTGTTTGGAAGATGGCAGCAAAACTTGAGCAAGTTAAGCCAGCAGTTCTTCTTTGACCTAGTCTGGGAACTTTCTGATAGCATTTGTTATGTGTATGGTGCTCTAGTTAGTGATTGTTGTTTCCCTAACAAGATAACATATAGCCTTTGCTGTTTGTTTATATATGGTTTATTTAACCCATTCACATTATGAAATGTTTGCCTGAATGGTTAATGCATCACCAGCAGATTTTTATTAATATGAGAAAAAAAGCTCTTTAACTATAGTCCTTACTAGTTAAAAATGTCTCTATTAGAAGTCAAGGTAATATGTTTAAGTACTGTAGAAGGCCTTGTTATAGAAAAAACAAAAAACAAAAAACAGTTGCAACCTATTAAAACCTAAGATGAGTGATGATAAGGTTCAGCACATTTATGCATCCTTGGTGAAAGGCCAGTTACAGTACATCACACTTATAGGTATGAATGGTTTAATGATATTGTTAATAGTTCAGTCTGTATAGTGCTGAGTGGTAGGGTGACTGATAAATAAGAAATTTGGAAGTTTATGTAAGGAAGCACTCATGTGAGGTACTATCCTGCCATTTGCCCAGAGAGGCTGAAGAAAGACATGAGAAACCCTCAAGCAGGTTAGCCAGTTTCTGGGCTGACACCTTCTGAACACAAACCCACGGTGCTACCTACTTGACTATAACTGGAAGGCCTCTGCTATTGAAACATCGCCATTAAATAATAAGAATCAAACAGCCACATCCATCATTAAATCGGAAGTATCAACAGCAAGAAAATCTCTAATTTGAAGTGTGAACTTGAAAATGACATAATGTGTCTTGTAGTGTATGATTGTATGGTAATTATGGTTGGTTATTTACCTATGTTTTATGATTATCATCACTCCTTTTTCTTTGTCCTCAGAAAATATATGCATTACTTGTAAGTCTAATGAAATATAGGAAGCAGCAGACTTGCACACAGAAATCCTGAATATTGTTCTGGTGACTTTTGCTCTTCTTGCAGAACGTAAATCAGATAAGATGCGTTTGTACAACTTCGATAACGTGAAAAAGAATCGCCGATGGTTACGAGACGTTCTCATTAGTGATACATCAGATTCCTCAAGTGATGATGGGAATGATGACCTGATTACAGAACAGGATCTGCAAGACATGTTGCGTCTTCACCTCCTCAGGAAGAAGTACCAAGCTCGTTACTATACAAATCCCGAGGTAAAAGAAATTGTTTGTTCTGGGTGCAGCTTTTCTACAAACTACTGCATCCGTATTAGATGTGAGGCTTTTATGGCTTTTATGCTCTGTTATCTGGTAGACATTTATAGATGTTCCTCTCAAACTTACCTCCAACTAGTGCCTAGATCAAGAAAATGTGGATCTACACACCCACTCCCCCATACACCCTCATGGTGTAGTGCTTAATTACTTAAGCACAGGGACAACTTTACCTTTTACCTTTACTTCTGATACGTCAGCAAACCTTTACCAGATTACATGGCATCATATCCCAAAAGATGGTATTCTTTACAGAATATGAGCTAAACACATAAGCTTGTTTAAGGCTTTCAGAAATGGTTAATATTTTGGTATTTGTCCGCCTCAGTCAGGGCATGGAATCCAATTTTGAGATGAGGGTGTCTGTAGACTGGGTTCTGGTATTCTCAGTGATAGTGTGAATATGAGAGCGATAGTTGTCAGAGAGGCCCCCCAAAGGTGTCTCCACCTTGTCATGGTGGTGGGGCTTGCATGACTCTGTTACCTGGAGAGCTATGCCAGCCATAGTTCAACTACCTGTAGGGTCACCCATGCCAGAAAGGTCAAAGGGTAGAGTCCACACTAAGAGAGAGACCCTTTTCCTCCAGGTTGGGGGTTGAGCATGAGGCTGACAACCTCATCCTGTAAAAAGAATTTTGTTCAGAAACCTAACAGCCAGCCTCAGGTCATCACGTGTGGGTCCATTCCTATGGCAGTACGCATTGGTTGTGGAGACTTGCAGCACACGTAAAGTCTGCTATTTTTTCATTAGTTGTTTCCTGGTAATGGATTCACTGGCTGGTGAATATCCCACAACTCACTATGCTCAGTCAGAGTCACTTACTGTATGACTGTCAGTTTACCACCAGTCGGTTCATCTTGGTGACAAGTCCCTTGAAACTCATGACCAGTAATTTTATTTTCCAATTGAACACTTGTGTTTATATTCAATTCAGTTCAATTCAATTCAATTCATTTATTTCATCCATAGCTGTAGAAATTACAATTGGACATGTCAGATAACAACAACATTACATCAAGCATAACATTCAAAGTACATGAATATAGAATAATAAATAATAAATACCTAAGACTAGAGAAAATATTTGAAACATATATACAGATTGTTTACAACATACAAACAGACTATTTAAAACATATTCCTGTACATATAAATAATTTATCTAAAACAGATTTATTTGTCAGCAAGCAGTCCATATCAACAGTTGTCCTTATGTCACATCCTCTCTGACGAGAGGATGGGTCACTATGCTCTAAATTATGTCCCTCCTATAACCTCTTGGCAAGGACCGTGCAGAAAACATGACTTGTCATTGTTGTAGTTCGGTCATTTCTGTGGGAACATGTTTGGGAAATTGTTTGTTACTCAGCAATGAATCTTGTATGTTTGCTTATTTCATGGTTATTACCCAGCGACAGGTCTGCATACTACATAATGTTCTGTGAATATTTCAGGGTGTGGGCATAAAAATGTCTAGTGAGAGCACATGCATCTAGCCATAGGGTTCAGGACTGTACTTGAGCCAGGGCGATCCAGGGCACCACCCTGGTGCTGTGTTGATGCCAGGGGAATGTCCTGACATGTATTTTAAAAACAGTAATACCAAATGTGAATAAAGTACAGCTTCTTTCATTTCTGTCCTTTCTGTGGCAGAAGTTGGAACCAGGATAATGTAGTCAGTATAGTGATTGAACGGAGGTGTTGGAGTTTGAGTCCTGGTAGGGTCAAGAATTTTCTTTTATCTCATTGTCCAGATCAACTGTGGGGTCCATGAATGGCTCTTTCCCAAGGGGTAAAGTGGCCAGTGCGTGAAACTGACCACTCACCTCGAGCTATTGCCAAAGTCAAGAAAATGTGGATCTATACATCCACTCCCCCATACACCTTCATGGTATAGTGCTTAATTAGTTAAGCACAGGGCAACTTTTCATTTAGTTCTGTATATAATGGTATAAAGCTGTATGATTAGGTAACAACAGGAACAGCCGCATGTTATGATATGTGCTCAAATCTCTCAGTCTGGAGCTATTTTCCAGTCCAGCCTTGGCACTGATTTTTAGGACTGTACCCATGGCAGGAATCGGTATGTTGTAATGAGATGATGGCAGTTACACCCAAAGAGCCATGTCGCTTTGTCAGTAAAAGGTTAGAGGCAGGGATTGTTCTATTTGCCACCATATCCAGACTGCCTCTGGAGCCCACTGAAAAAGTATTGTTTCTGGTGGGTACCAATAGCCAGGGACACACAGTAGCATACTTGGTTGAGGCACTATGCTACAAGCGAGAAGGTCATGGGTTCGATTACCGATAAGGTCTGAATTTTTAACTTTACCTAATCCTTCCAGCTGTGCTGTGTCCCTGAGATCGACTCAGCCTCTAACAGAAATGAGTATCAGGAATTTCCTGGGGCTAAAGGGCAGCTGCTTGCCAGTCACGGTCTAAGGCATGCACTGTCTTTGCTCGCTCGGAAGCAGGGATCATGGGTTCGAATCCCACTCAGGGCATGGATATTTGTGTGTGTTTTTCTGTGTTTGTGTACAGGTAGAGGCCTTGCGACAAGCTGATCACTCGCCCAAGGAGTCCTACCGTATGTGTAAGATCGAGAAAAACCGAAGTGAACGGAGTTCATGGAGGTAGGCCTAGGCCCACTGGGGCTGTAGTGCCAAGGAAAAAAGGGTGGCTGCTTGGATAGTGTGTAAGGCTGACAGTCTCGCCACCTTCTGTGGTTCGAATGTCTAGAAAATGTGAGAGCCTCAACTTCTTACAACCCTATAGGCCTCCACCGCTTGTTACAAGGATAGCTTTACCTTTACCAGAAGATATATTTCTGGGTGTCAAGCGACTGGCACATGACTCTGACAGTTTTGCATCATGTGATCTAGAATGTGTGGAATATTGTCTTCCTGCACATCTTAGCTTTCATGGTATGGTGATTAAGCACATAAGCAACTTACCTTACTTCTCTTCATTAATCCTCTTGAGGCCTGATGTCCAGTATAGCTTGCTGTAGCAGTAGAATGGTGCAGTGTATGACATTGATTGAAACCTGTCTTCAATTTGAATTCAGAGCTGACAATTTAGTTAACAGTATTTTTCATAAATGGTGGCACAAATCAGTGCCCATGCATTATTTGGCACTCTGAAGAAAATACAAATTTACCATAAAATAACAAGAATTCTGATACCCCTGCAGCAGCAGTTTACATGTTTTGAAAATCATAGTGGCCATTCAAAATACAGTTCTTTGACCCAGCATTGTTCTTGGAAGAGAAAGATTCAGGTGATTGAGTACAGTGGTAATTACATGTACCACTTTCTTCAGTATTAAAAGACTTTGCATTTTGCCCACAGAGGATACCCATGATCCTCAAAATAAATAGTGGTTATTTTTGTTGACAGCATCGACTGATTCATCTTTGTAATGGAGATCAGTGTGTTTTCTGTGAGGTAGGAACTGAATATTCAGATATTATTTAAATGATCTTCAGGCATCAGAATGTTAAGTTGTGCGTTCCTTTTTCAACTAATTTGATAATTGTAAGGACAGTTTATGTACAGCACATTTTGTTGCAGAATTCCCAATATCAGTATTATGGAGCTGGGCTCCTGTCCAATTATGATAAGTTTCCTGAACATCAGAAACTTATTGTTGGTAACAAAAAGAAAAAGAAAGAAAAGAAGTTTGAAAAGAAAATGAAGAAGATGAAGAAGTTGGGCATGAAAGAAAAACGTGAAGCTGAAGAAAATCTGGTAAGTTTTGTGAGATAATTAAATTAATAATAATATCACATGTAGGATGGTATGTGTGATGAAATGATGGGTTGTGCCTCAGATGATTGGATTTATTAGCACTTCGGTTACACGCTCTCTCTGAATCACATTTAAATATAGGCAATACAGCGCTATCGCTGATTTACACAATTTACAGTTCACCTAATTGCATTTGCACTAGGAATCTCTGTTTCCACTAGTCCTCTCCTAGTGGATCTCAATACACAAACTGTCACTTGAGATAAAATTAATAATCTGTGGAAACTGGAATATAAACCTGCTCCAGGAAAATGAGCAGGTTCAGTCATTGAAAAATATGTTAGTTTCATATGATTTAATAAATATAGTCTCCAGTCCAACAAGAGTTACTAGTAGCTCAGAATCACTGTTAGATATGTTGGTGTTAAATAGACAGTTTAACAAGAATTACATAGCGATTATAAATATGGGATATTCAGATCATTTGGCCCAGATTTTATGGGTATTAATAGACAAAGGTAATAATGAGAGAAAAAAGCTTTAAAAAGAAAGTGTACCAAGGACAGTATCGCTAAATTTATAACTTTGTTGACTAGTGAATCTTGGGGGGAAATATATGTCGAAAGGTGTGTAAATGAGACATATAAGCAGTTTATAAAAAAATTCTTAGACTATTTTAATCAAGTATTTCCACTGAA